GCCATTTCTCTGTCTAAAGCAACCTCCATAACTAGGGTATAAAACCCATTTATAGTAGTCTGTATTTTGAAGGGAATGCTATCATTTATATCACACACAACATTCCCGTTATTCTCGGAATCTGGATCGTTTATGCTCAACATTGCAATTACAGTATTTGTTGGTGAGTTCTCTGATATGGACTCTGATTTAGAAACGATGTTTATTTGAGGACTATTGTCATTTACATCAATAAGATCAACTATCACTTTCGCTGAATCAGAGAACCCACCGCTGTCTACAACTTCAATATCAATTTGATAAGAGTTTGCTTTTTCATAATCTATTTCCCCGACTAGGATAATTTCACCAGTCTTTGGATTGATATTAAACAGTTCAGATAGAATACGTTTGCTTGTAGAAATCAGATATGATAATTCTCCGTTTGAACCGATGTCTTTATCAGATGCACTTACAGTTGTAACACTGGTGCCTTTAGGAGAATTTTCCTGCAGTTTTGCTCTATATAACGGTTTGGCAAATGTCGGTGCATTATCATTCGCATCTAATACAGTGACAAATATCTGCATTGTCCCTGACATCTGCGGCTCTCCTCCATCCATAGCAGTTAACAGCAGGGACAAATAATCCTTCTTTTCTCGGTCTAAAGGCTTCTGTAGAACCATTTCCACCTTTTTAGTTCCGTCTCTCTGACTTTCTAGTTTTAATACAAATTGATCACTTGGAGCAAGTGAGTACTGTTGTAAACCATTCATGCCTATGTCGGAATCTACTGCTTTCTCTAACACGAATTTCGATCCTATCACAGCGGACTCGCTAATTTCGAAACGTTTTTCTAAATTGGTAAAAGTGGGGGTATTATCATTTATGTCCGTAACCTCCACTGTTACACGAAACAGTTCCATTGGATTTTCCAAAATTAGCTGAAAATGTAAGGCACAAGGCGTCGTCTCTCCGCATAAAGCCTCTCTGTCTATCCGCTGCTGGACAAGCAGGACCCCCCTTTCTTTATTCAGCCCGATGTATTCTACACCGCCGCCGGTGTAAACGCGAGCGTTACCTGATTTCAACCTTTTAAGATCTAAACCTAAATCATGAGCTATGTTTCCAACTACAGAGCCTTTGGCCATTTCTTCGGGAATGGAATAGCTGACCTGCCCGAGCACGTATTTGAGACAAAGGGCTGAGAGAAACAACAGTACTTGCCGTCTCATTGTTCTGCACGACCCGATTTCCGTTCCTTCTCCACTAAAAAACAGAAGCATTTGTCATGGAGAGAATATGAAGACAGAAAAAAAAAATCGCTCGCATTCCAATTATAAGAATCAAACGGTGTAAGCAGGTATAGAATTCCTTGCAGTGCTTCTTATAAACCCGAACAGTCTTTCTGTCTGTACGTCGAATATTTCCACGCAAAAGGGAAGACACAGAGGAATAAAAAACATCCAGCCAAATCGCAACACCCTTGCCAACAGCGACCCTTTGAGTTGAAAATACAAATTACAACATTAATTCTCAAAAACAATGAATTCAGTGTAAAGCCACGCTATTAAGGCTCATCTAA